AGAAAAATGTGGTGGAGCTCCATCTTGCATAAACCACATATCTCTCCGAAGTTGGAGAGGTAAATCTTCTAACAATTCTGACAACGTATTTTGTAGAAAATCCAAATAATTTTCTCCAGTTAATCTTCGTGGAAGTATGACAGGACCAACAATGAAATTACCAATTATTCCAGCCCACACATTAATTTTGAATTCGTGCTGAAAATGGTTTACCTTTATTGCATGCGGATTTTCAACGGCATAAACATATTCATTATGGGTATTAGTTACACCTCTTCTTGTAAAACTCGCTTCACTGGTAAAGAGAACCTTCTTGACAAAGTTTGGATCTCTTTTTCTTTGCATATTAACAAATCGACAAAAACCCAAACGAATTTGAGGATCATGGACTAATAATTCTTGTACTGGCTTCTTATGGTATGGATATAGCAATTGTTCTCTAAGCACTTTATGAACGACATCTTTACTTACTCCTAGTTCCCTTCCAATTCGCCTGGTGCTTAATTCTGGATCTTCTTCAACACGTTCTAAAATGTCTTCTTCAACTTCAGGAATCCTTACAAAACGTTCTCTTCCATTATCAACAGTGTTGGGAGCAAAGGAATCGGTCTCCCGAAGACGTCTCTCAACAGCAGCAAAAGTTGGGTGGCTAGGTACACGACGATTTGGAAACCTTTCAGAACACACCCTGACACTCTCTCGAGCATTTCCTTCACAAAATCCTAATGTCAGTAACATATCGGTATATTCTGCATTGGTATATTGTACAGCCATATTAATAAACCACGCATTTTTTTTTAATTATTGAGTCAGATAGAACACTTTCAATCGTTAACAAGAGATTAGGTGTTAAAACTTGACAATATTTTTATTTAGATGAAACTATGGAAACCAACAATAAATGTTTTTGTATACGTATTGCAGGCAAATAATTAATATTCCTCAAAAAATCGTACATGGCAAGAATCGAGTATTTTTGTTAAAAGTCTCGATTAGATTTTTATGTTTTTCATCATTTAAAATTTTGTCCGATAATAATACATAGGCGTAGAACTTGATTTTTTAAATAATTGCACCATTAGAAATTCTACGCCAATGGAAAAAAGTGGTTTGAGTATGAAATTTGGATTGGGTACTCATTTACTACAAAAAAGTACCCTTGATAACACTCGATTTACTATCATGGTTTTGACAAAGTTTGTATTTTAATAATTATTGTTTATGTTCTAAAATTACTAAAATACAAATTTCGTCAAAACCATGAGAGTAATCGAGTCTTATCAAGAGTACCTTTTTTAAAGTAAATGAGTTGCGCAATCTAAATTTCAAGTGGAATCTTAGTAAAGCGGATTGGAATTCGTTTTATTTAGAAGCGTTGAAACAATTCTCTGAAACGGAAATTAATGAATATAATCAATTTATGGAAAAATTAGAAAATATAATAGAACTAACCATACCTAAATATAGATCAATACATGTTTCCCCAAAAAACAAGCATTGGTGGAATGAAAACTGTAAACGCGTAGTAGATACAAGAAAGATTAGTTTTCAAAATTATTTAAATAATCCTAATTTAAATAAATTATTAGAGTATAAAAGAAACGATGCGGTGGCGAAAAGGATGCTCAAACAAACAAAAAGGGATAGCTGGAAACAATATTGCTCCAGTCTTAACAAATATACTTCAATGAAAGATATTTGGAAGAAAGTAAATAAATACAAAAATAGGAAAATAAATAATACCGTACAAATAGACATAAATGAATCGACCTGGTTAACAGAATTCCATAATAACTTAACTCCTCCATATGTTCATAGAACTTCATCATTAGAAAATATTGCAAAACAAACAGTGACCGATTATTTAAACCAACCCTTTTCTTATCATGAAATTTGTCTTGCCCTCAAAAATCCAAAAAATACAGCACCGGGTCATGATACAATACACTATGTTATGCTGAATAAATTACCAAAGAATGCAAAATTATCTCTTCTCAACATATTTAATAATATATGGACAAGAAAAATAACAATTCCTAAAGAATGGTACGAATACATTATTATCCCTGTACTAAAACCTGGGAAAAAATCAGATCAAGCTAAATCATATAGACCAATTGCTCTTGCTTCTTGTATATTTAAGACGTATGAAAAAATAATAAAACTCAGACTGGAATATTATTTAGAAAATAACAACTTACTTTCATCTACTCAATTTGGATTTCGCAAAAATATTTCAACTCAGGATAGTATAGCAAATACAGTAACAGGTATTCAACTGCGTTTATCAAAAAATGAATCTACAAGTGCTCTATTTCTAGACATAAAAGGTGCTTATGACACTGTAAATTTAAATATTTTATGTGAAAAATTATGTAAGTTAGGAATCCCCATAACTATTTCAAATCATATATATAATTTGTATAACAATAGGAAATTATTTTTAAAAGTAAACGGTGAATTATCTTGTCCATGAGAATCGGGCCTTGGGATCCCTCAAGGAAGTATTTTAAGCCCTTTACTTTATAATATTTACACGTTTGATATAGAAAATTCTATTCCAAGATCTACAAATATTCTTCAATACGCAGATGATGTAGTGATCTACACAAGCCACAAACAAATTAATTATTGCCATGATCAGCTATTCAAATCTATGGAGAAAATTCATAGTTGGAGTCATGAAAACGGTTTAACAATATCTGAATCGAAGTCGGCTGTAGTTACTTATACGCGCAAAAGGTATAACCATCCAAATTATATAAAGTTACATAAATATAACCTGGCTTATAAATCCTCTTCTAAATTTTTAGGCATTATTATAGACAGTAAATTAAACTGGAAGGAACATTATGTTCAGAAAAGAACACAAAATGCTGTAAATATAATAAAAACTTTTACTTGTCATAATTGGGGCTCTGACCCAAATGTTAGTCTTCAATTTAGTTCAATTTTTTATAATACAGCAGCAAACTCACATCTTCAGAAAATTGAACAAATTAAAAATAAATGCCTAAGACTCTGCGTAGGATTCTTACCAAGCACTCCTATAAATGTTATGGAAGTCGAAACATGTGAAAGTCCATTGGATCTAAGAAGGAAATTTCTGAGTGATAAATTTGTATTGTTATCCCGATCAAAACATTATACAGTAATTAATAAATTAAGCAGATTAACTACTCTATGCTTAACTTCATCCTTTTGGAAAAAGAAAAAACTGCCATTATTAGTTGACAGTTTTATTTCTACTTCAGATGTCAGTAACGATCTACCAGTTTCAAATGGCGTACCGCTGTCGTCCAATCCATATATGTCTCTTATAATGCTAGTTATTAGTTATATTAATAGTAAATTCGACGTTGACAACCCTTTACTAATAAAGACAAAGTTTTATGAAGAATTAAATACAAAATGGAAACATTATGAAACACTTTACACTGATGGTTCTAAATTAAATAATCAAGTAGGTTACGCTTTATATTATCCCAATAAAGAGATCCAAATTTTAAAACGTTTGCCAAATTGTATGTCAGTTTATAGTGCAGAAATATTAGCAATTAAAGAAGCCTTTTCGTTATGTCTAAATCAAGAGGAATTAAATTTTGTCATTTTCACAGACTGCAAAAGTTTAGTTCAAAAGTTTCAAAATTTTAATTTTAATTCAAAAGTTAATTACATAATTTTGGACATTTTAAAACTAAATTTTGAGGCAAGAAATCAGGATAAACGAATATACATATCTTGGGTCAAAGCCCACATGGGAATACCTAATAATGAAAAAGTAGACTTTTTGACTAAAACTGCAACAAAACTTAATTACATAAGTAATTTTAAAATACCCCTATCCGATCTAAATACTTTTTTCAGATATAAAAGGGATCAAAATTGGCAAGCAAAATATGTAGAGAAGGAAACAGGTAATTTTTATAAATCTATTCAACCTAATATAAGGGTAAAACCGTGGTTTGATAAGCTGTCAAATAGACCACTAATCCAAACGATTAGCAGAATTAGAACTAATCATGCTTTATACCCTCAATATATGAAGCGAATAGGTATAATATATACTTATTTGTGTATTTGTGATGAGATTGCTGATTTACAACATATATTTTTGGATTGTATTCTAAACGATTTAGAAATTAATTTATTATACCAAAACTTAATTAACAACAAAATTCAGTTACCTATAAATTTAAAAAATCTACTGACATTTGACAGTATATATAACATACTCTATAATTTTGTCAAAACACTCAAATTAAAACTGTAATTAGGAAATAGAAATAAAACGTAAGTAGTGATGCTACCAATTAAAAAATTTGTACACCTGACTCGAAAAAAATGTTAAGAAAAGAAAAAAAAAAAAGACAAAAGAAAAAAAAAAACAAAAAAAAAAAAATAAAAAAAAAACAAAAATAAAAAAAAACAAAAATAAAAAAACAAAAATAAACAAAATATTTAAACCATATTAAGTTCAGGTTATTAAGGTAGAGCAACTTTAATATAATTTGTAAAATAATAAAGTTTGTTATATAATATTTTTATTTGTTCACCTGACAATTGACTGGCCTGTTGGTTTATATCCAGTGCCACTAACTTAGTTAAAAAAAAAAAAATTCATACTCAAACTCCTTTTCTTCCATTGGCGTAGAATTTTTAAAGTTGCAATTATTTAAAAAATCAAGTTCTACGCCTATGTATTATTATCGGACAAAATTTTAATATTATTTTTTTTTGCCACATAAAACTCTACCAATATACCAAATTTCAGCAAAATTTATATGTGAAAAACGATTTAAAAATTGTAACTTCAAGGCTCTCTGGAGCCCAAACGAAGCAACTTTGTACTAAGGTAATTTTACTTAAATCGACTTATTTTGGTCTAAGGAATATGTGGTATGTTTTTGTAAAGACCTTTTACAGACACCCTGTATAACATCAAACCAATTATTATTGTATTAAATTATTCTTAAACCTTACTTATTTTTTTTTTTCAGATTTGTAATTGGAACAGACATGGTATCCAAAATTATATTTATTTTCGTTCTAACGTACGCTGCTAGTAATACAGCTGTGAATTCTCTTGAAGCAGAAGTAGGGGGAATAATCGGAGCTGTTCCAGAATTGGTCACAGATGTATTTGGGAATGTTTTGGACATTAATAATATACAAAGTATGTTAACAGTTTTATAAAATTATTTATTCGCTTATGCTTTTTTTGAAATTATATTATTTAAACAGTTTATATCTACGAAATATTGCCACAAAATAACTAATATACATTTAAATAAACAACTTATAATATTTATGTGCAATTACATTTCCAAAAATTTATACAAATACGGTATTTTGAGTATGTGCCTTCGCTTGACCCATCTGAGATTATCTTCTGCTTTTTCATGTTGTCCAGAATGTGCCTTTTCATCTAAACTGCCATGTTTGTCTCACCTTTTCCACCTCTACACCGGTTGAGCCGTCTGACTCTCCTAATCGTGCCGGCTAGCGCTAAGCGAATGTGAAGCTTGTCAGTACGCTTTTGTTTTTCCTTTGCAGAGTGTGCCACTGCAGTTACTTATACACGTTCAGTGCGAAAAAGAAAAAAATATTACTTATTTTGATTTTTCTCCTGCAACAAGAGAACAAGAACCTTCTATTCCGGAACCACATCCGGAAATAAAAAAACAAGGCATAGACTGTCAACGGCTAGGATCTTCATCTTGGAATCGAATTAGATACTCAGAAGTTCAGAAGAAGCTGCATGCCTCACCTGTGTTTTCTCAGCTTATTGTTAATCATGGACTTAATTCATTTTCTAACCAATATAGCGATTTTTTAGCTAAAACTGATTCTTCTTTGGGTACCTTATGTCACGCTATTTTAAAGCAAAGGCAATACCTCCAGGAGGGGCATCTCAGAGTTATTAAAAAAACATCCAGATGCCGCTGATAGTTTAACATCAATTTTTGGGGAACAGCAGTCTAATTTTCGAAGCATTTCAGATGATATATTACAGTATGTATGTGGAAAACCTGCTGAAGTAATAGATTTAAGACGTAAACATCATACAATATCTAATCCTCGTGTAGCCCCACTACTGAAGAATATTCCACCTTCAATTTCTCATTTATACGAGGAAGAAAAACTTGACGTCCTTAGAAGGGAACACTCCTTCAGGATTCAAAATACAAAAAGATGTTTTCCGCAAAATTTCCAAACTGAAGTTCAGCCGCGAAAAGTACCAAAACTTTCTCAACATTTTATCGTCGGAGACCTGAAAAATCATCCAGACCAAGAGAACATCTTCAGCAAGGAAAAGAAACATTTCGTTCTCTTAAAAGATCTTCCTTTCCTAAAGACAGAAAACATCACTTATGACTAGCCGCCCCCAGCAAAAGACTTTTTAAGCGGGCCTGTTAAAAAACTTCAGCAATCATTGTGAACTCCTGGGTGCTCCTCCATCTTTAATAAAAATAATTACAGGTTACAGAGAGAGAGAGAGAGAGAGAGAGAGAGAGATATGCTTTATTGTCGTAAAAAAATTTACAAAAATTTTATAGACAAAGCGTGTAACTTAAATACTAAACATATTATAAAAAATAACTAAACAGCAGAAAAAACAAACAGAAACAAACAGACAAAATAGGAATAACAATTGCAATGGATATGCAATATCCGTCATTATAATTATTCTAATTTAAATTTAAATTTAAATTTAAATTTAAATTTAAATTTAAACTTTAATATTTAATTATTTAATTAATGCCATTGTATGTGGAACTCAAATGTCTAAGGTACGTTATAAAATTCTGCTACTGTGTAATATGGTCTTTCTAGAAGAAAAGCTTTAGCCAGTCTTCGGAACTTATCGTATGTATTTATAGATTTTAATTGAATCGGAAGGTTATTATACAATTTTTTGGCATTGTAGGTAATGGAATGTTTTAATAGGTCAGAAGTGGGCATTGTTAAATAAACATCAGTCCCTAAATTTCTTGGTAGGATATCTACGAGTCGGTCTTTCGGATAAATTTTGAATGTGCTTGCGAAACTAAGCAGACGGGATTCGAAAATAAATAGAGCAGGAAGGGGTTAGAATTTTGAAATTTTTGAAGTAATTTTCGCAATGTGTCCTACTACTTAAACCAAATATCTTTTTTGCAGTTTAAAAATAGATTCGAAAAGGTATAAGCTACAAGAACCCCAGAAAGGTAAACCATAGCGAAGGTGAGATTCGAATAAGGAAAAGTAGGTTATTAATGCAGTAGAAGGAGTCAGCTCTTTAGAAACCGATTTAATGGCAAAACATGCGGAGGATAATTTTTTTGCTAAGGTATCTATATGAGCAGACCATTTTAGAGAATAGTCTATATAAAGACCTAAAAACTTGATTGAAGTCACCGTTTGGATCAGATTATTGTTTAAAGTTATAGGTTGTAAAGTACCTCTGTAAGACAATGCTACAGTTTTACTGGTGTTGAAACAAAGTCCATTCGAATCAGACCAGGACTTAATAGTCACTAGATCTTCACTTATGATAGATTGTAATGTCTGCATGTTAGAATTATTCCAGGTTACACTGGTGTCATCAGCAAATAAAGTAATTCTACCACTTATTCTTAAGTCTGTGATGTCGTTGATGAATAATAAAATTAAAATTGGACCTAATACTGATCCTTGAGGTACTCCACTGCTTATTGCTAGATTTGTAGAATCCTCACCATTCGCCCGCACCTGTTGATTTCTATTTTCTAGGTAAGTTTTAAACCATTGTAAAGGAGAACCCCGTATGCCATAAATTTGTAACTTATTAATTAAAATATCATGATTTACACAATCGAAGGCCTTTGCGAAGTCACAAAATACTGAAACGGTGAAAAGTTTATCATTAAGTGATGTGTATATTTCATTAAGAACGGAAAACATTGCGTCGCTAGTGCATTTTTTAGGTAGAAAGCCATACTGATGAGCTGTGAGGATGTTATGCTTGAAAAGAAAGGGCAAAAGACGGTTTTTCATTAGCCGTTCTACTATCTTCGATAAGGTAGGCAATAACGCGATAGGTCTATAGTTACAGGTTTTGGTTTTGTCGCCACCTTTATGAAGTGGGATTATTATAGCTGTTTTTAGACAGTTAGGAAAGAGACCAATTTCAAAGGATTCATTAATCAGTGAAGTTAAAATGTTGATTACTGCATCCGGTATATTTAGAAATATTTTGGTGGACAGGCCATCAATTCCACAGGAAAATTTATTTTGGATGTTGTTTATGGTTTGCACTAGTTCATGCTTGTCTACTGGTCTTAGGAAGAAACTTTCAGTGATCCTTTTAGTAGGTAGGAGGAAGGAGAGAGCATCCTGACTCGGAGCTATGTTAGATTTGATATTTTTACTTACATTTACGAAATAATTGTTTAGTTCATCTGGGCTAGGATTTACACTGTTTGAAGAACGGGTTTTATTCCTTAAGTCATTTATTATAGACCAGGTTTCTTTGGAGGAGTTTTTAGCTTTTGCGATGCGATTTTTGTAATAGTTTTTCTTAGCAGATTTAGTGATTTTCCGATACAATATTCTGTAGTTGTTGATATAGTTTAATATTAGGGGATTATCTGTGTACTTTTTAATATACATGAGTGACCTCATATTTTTAGATGATGTTCTTATTCCTTTAGTTGTCCAAGATTTATGACATTTAGTTTTAATGGAGCGAAGGGGGAAAGCTGTATTGAAACACATAATTATTTTATTTAAGAAGTCTAAAAATTTAGAGTCAATATCTTCAGAAAGGCCATTCCAATCAGTAGTTAGACATAAATTATAGAAATTTTTGAAATTATGCTTAGAGGAAATTCTACCTAGCTGACGGACTTTTTTTGGAGCTGTACGGGGTATCAAAAATTTGGCAAATACTGCTTCGTGGTCTGAGAGACCTGAGCTAATTACTTGGTGCTCTACATCAACGGGTTTTAAATCAGAGACTACGTAATCTATAATTGTAGATGTTGTTTCTGTGATTCTAGTTGGAGAATTTACGTGCATAGTGAGACTGAATGATTAAAAAATATTGATTAAAGACTTTTGAGTAGCACATACATTAGCAAAGTCAATATTAAAATCGCCGCATAAAATTTTCTTACTTTTTATAGGCAATGCGTCAAGTAGATTAAGAAGATTCTCTAGAAAGAGGTGAACATTTGATTTAGGTGTTCTATAAATACAAATAATAAACAAATCAATGTTTTTGTTGTTTACAATGGAAAATTCGAAGAAATTTTCAGCTTGTAGAAAGTCGTATTTAGATACAGCAGAAAAATCCTTGTCTAAGGATAAAATTAGAGTTCCACCATGGTCTGTATTACTTCTATCATATCTGCTGACGATAGTATATTTTTCGACAAAAACTGGTTCACCATTTTGTAACCAGTGTTCTGTAATAGCAACTATTTGGGGAAACCCTAACTCTTCCAAAAACAAATACAATTCATCAGTCTTATTCCGTATTGATCGAATATTAATTAGAACCATTCTTAATTTACTGTCGGCATAGCCAGTAAGACTAGTTGTCCTTTTGTAAAAAGACCGCCTATAATTCGTTTTTCAGAGAACACTTGCCTTCGGTTTCAGACAAAGTCTACACGAAAAATGGATACCCATATACAATCAACGATAAAAAACAAAGTGCTAAGAAAGTCACAACTGAAGACCGGTTTTCTCTCCATTATGTTTCTAAAGTCTATTCAAATTTAATTTACGCCTGATGTAAACAGATGCAGGTGGACGCTAAAATTGAGCAGGGCCGTATTTTACTTTTCCGTCTTGCAAAAATGTAAAATAAAAGAGTGTAATTGTGAAATTATTTTTTTATTACGATAAAAACATATTTTGTAAAGTAAAACTATAAAATAAATGCCATACACGGTCTCCCAGACTTTAGTGACATTTCTAGATGAAGATAGGTGAGCGACATAAACTGCGTTAACCTGCAATACAAATTAATAAATGTATTTGACTTTAAAAGAGATGGTTGCATTATATTTAGTTCATTACATATGTCTACTGTGATACAGAGCATTAAAACAATCATATTATAAAATTATATTGTACAGGGTGTCCAAATAATTGCAATTTCTTTATTAGCTAATATATATCTACTAAAAGCATTAAAAAACTTTA